TCCTTTACAGCAGACGTCCCCGAGGCAGTAAGTCATTGGATTTCTGGACTGCAGCTTCCAGGTGCTAAAACTGAGGAGGACCTGAAGCGCTTGCTGCAGAGGGTCAAGGACTGCAGCCTTCAATATGGATTGAGGCTCAATGTCAAGAAGACAAAGATTCTCACCACTGGACCAATTGGCAGCATCAGGATGGATGGTGAAGAGACTGAGATTGTTCACAGCTTCAGTTTGCTCGGCTCCACAATCAACACTCTTGGCACCAGCAGCCAGGAAATTAAAAGATGTATTGCGATGGGAAAGTCTACTGTTAGGGACCTCTCTAAAGTACTCAAGAGCAACGGTGTGACTCTGGAGACTAAGGTGCGCTGGTACAGGCTACGGTCTTTGCAATCACTTGTTATGCGTCAGAGAGCTGGACAATGACCAGGGAGGACAGAAGGAGAATTGATGCTTTTGAGCTTTGGTGCTGGAGAAGAGTGCTGAGGGTGCCATGGACTGCTAAGAAAACAAACAGATTCATCCTGGAGAGGGTTAAACCGGGCTGCTCCTTGGAGGCAAGGATTCTGAGGCTTCATCTGACATACTTTGGTCATGTTGTGAGGAGAGACCGGTCCTTGGAGAGAGACATCATGCTTGGGAGGGTGGAGGGACAGCGCAGGAGGGGAAGGCCCTCTGGGAGATGGATTGATTTGGTGACTGGGGCAGTCAGGATGAGTGTGTCGGAGACCGTGAGATTGGCACAGGACAGAGCAGAGTTTAGGACTGTTGTACACAGGGTCACTATGAATTGCAAGTGACTCGACGGCACATAACAACAATAACAAGCTTCCAGGGGTCTTGATTATGGGCCCAAGTAAAATATAGTATCCAACCATTCAAAATTATGCTTTTAAAAACATGTGTAATTGTTGTTGTTGTTAAGTGCTTCTGAGTTGACTATGACACACAGCGATCCTATGAAGAGCTGACCTGAACCCTGTCCGGTCCTGTGCCACCCTCACCGTCATCCCTGAAGACAGAAATGGCAGGTTGCATGGTGTTAGAACCAGCTTTACTTGCCATACAGATTCCTATCAATGAAGAACTATGTTCAGACAACACAGCAAATGTTCACAGTGGCCAGGGATTGGAGGGAACTGAGGGAATCTGGTTTCTGTGTTTGTTTCCTATCCTCTCTAAAATAGCTACAATTAATATTCAAAGAAACAATGCTTATACAATATTTATTCTTGTGGGACTGAGTTAGTTCACTCAGCATAATGCTCTCCAGTTCTTCCCAAGTTGGGTAATAATTTACAAAGTTATTGCTCTTGCGTGCTGCATAGTATTCCTTTGTGTGAATGTACCATAATTTCTCATTCCATTCGTTTGTGGTTGGACATTTGGGCTGTTTTCATGTTCTTGCGATGGTGAATAATGCTGCTATGAACATTGGTGTACAAGTCTCAGTCTGTGCCTCAGTTCTCATATTCTTAGGGTATTTTCCAAGTAGTGGAATAGCTGGGTCATTTGGAATTTCTGTGTTCAGCGTTTTGAGGAAACTCCAAACTGTCTTCCAGAATGGTTGCACCATTTTACAATCCCACCAACAATGTACAAGAGTTCCTTTCTCGTCACATCCTCTCCAGCATCTGTTCCTTGCTGCCCTGTTAAACTTTGCCATTGTTACTGGAGTGAGATGGTATCTCATTGTCATTGGGTTGTACAATTTGATGGGTGGTGAGGTGAGGGAAATTGAAAGAATTTGTATTAGAGTTTTGTAAATAAACTAATGAAAAGGAAAAATGTCAACTTGGGGAGGGGGAAGGAAGGGAAAAGGGGTAAAATGTGCAACAATGAATGAATGAAAATCTAACTTCTGTAAACTTTTGTTAAAATGACAATTAAAATAAAACCATTTTATTTAAAAAAAAAGAAAGAATGCTCTCCCTCTTTCCTTCCCTCTCAACCTTCCTTCTGTGAAAGAGAAAAAAGGATTTTCCAGTGAGCTTGCATTACCAGGGTGGATGGGAAATTACAGTGCCCCAAATAGAAAATAAATCTAAAAACCAAACATTGCCAAATAAATCTTCCCATTTATCATTCCTGTTCAGACGTTTTTAGGACTGTGGTATCCAGAAGGCCACCCTAATGACACCAATGGAAAGCTTGAGAACGGTGTGTTCCGGAATCTTTGGTTACCAGCGAGCGGGATCTGAAGGAAAGCCTGGTAAACTGTCCTCTGTTGAGTTAGCAGCACACCCTGTCGCTGAGCCAGAGCTCCAGCCTGGCTCTGTGGAGGCTCCTTCCTCCTGGTGGGAAGCTGTGCTGCGATTCCAAAAGCAGGAGATTGGAATCCGCAGGCTGCGCTGTGGGAGAAGGATGGGTAATCGCCCCCGGCGTGACCTAGTGTCTCTGAAAACCCACTGGATGGAGGGTTTCCGCTGTGAGCTGGTTCTGACTTGATGGCACACAACAACAAGAGTAAATTTGGTGTCCACTCTCTTTCAAGAGACTTAATAAAATCTTCAATTTCTCTCTCCCGATTTTTTTAAAAATATATTTTGCAGCATATTCTTCCCATTTAATTTACCCCCCCTTCATTCATTGTTGCACATTTTCCTCCCTGCCCCCGCAGTTTGCTTTTCTCTTTGAAAAGAAAAAAAAATCTTTCATTATTAAACAACCCCGCCATGCAGTTCTTTTTCTGGACTCCCGTCATGACAATAATACCTAATGACATATCCATTTTAAACAGTTCTCTCCCTCATCTGTTTCAATACAGTATACATACATTGTTTATCCCCTCTTTTCGTTGGTCCCATTCTACAACAGTGGCACTATGCAGTATCCTTTTGTGACTGAGATATTTCACTCAGCATAATGTCCTCCAGAATCACTCATTTTGTATAATATTTCACGAGTTCCTTGTTTTTCAATCCAGCACAGTATTCCATTGTGTGAATATACCACAGCTTCTTTATCCATTTGTTTGTTGATGGGCACTTGGGTTGTTTCCAACTCTTTGCTATTGTGAACAAAGCTGTGATAAACGTGGGTGTGCATATATTTGTTTGGGTGGTAGTTATGGTCTCTTTAGCGTATATTCCCAGTAGTGGAATTGCTGGGTCAAATAGTATTTCTATTTGCAACTTTGAGAAAGTGCCATACCACCTTCCACAGTGGTTGCACCACATTTTACACTCCCACCAACAGTGAATAAAGGTTCCAGTTTCTCCACAACCTCGCCATCATTTGTTGCTTGCTGCTCTGTTGAATTTTGCTATTCTGACTGGGGTGAGAATATATCTCATAGTTGTTGTGGAATTACTTTTTACAAGCTGTATTTTCCTGCTCTTGGCTATTAAAAACAGCATAGATGCACATTATTTAGGGAAAAAAACCAAGTTGGCAAAAACTCAGTGGCATTTTCCCCAGGCTGGATAAAACCCAACCGTCAAAGTCTTTCATCTTAACATCATTCACCCCAGGTGGCTGTTAGGTACTATGAGAACACTCCAGCTGACCGCCACCCCACACACAGCAGATGTGCACTTCTTCCTGTCCTTCAGTGCCCCACACCCTCTCCCATGCACAAGCCCACTCAAGGAGGCAGTCACCGTGTCAGCCCATCACAGTGAGGGTCTGCGTCTCCTTTGCTGATGCCCTACTTTTCCAAACACTTGGAAAAAGTAATTCAGGGAAGAGGAAGTGAGCGGCTCGCCCATGATCTGCTGGAGAGTGGACGCCACGTTCACTAGGCATGCCTTAAGATTCTGCTCTCTGGTAATCAAAGATTCTAGAAGGAGCTGCTCTCAAACTTTCAACAGTCTTTTACCAAAGACTGACCCCTCCTGATAACCAGCTTATGGTGTGTGACTCTCACCACCTTCTCCTCCAAAGACCACCATGGCCGCACTTATACCAAGACCAGTAAGTATGAATCAAATGAAAACAGCCTGGCTTGGGGCAAATGTACCTTAGTCTTTAAACTGGCATCCTTGCTCTTTACCATTTTAAAAAGGTCATTGACAACAAATTTGTAAAAAAAAAAAAAGAAAAAAAGAAAGAAATCTTCTGATTTCCTGGCCTCTGCTTATTTACCGCCCACCACACCAGACCCCCACTCTTGTCCAATCTATCCTGACTCGTGGTGGCCCTCAGGGCGAGGACAGCAGCTCCATCCTCACACCCAGTGGCCCTGCAGAATGAGGACAGTGGTTCTGTTGGTTCCAAAGCTGTAACCTTACAGAAGCAAATGTTCCTGCACTGAGTTCACACTTCCCGGCCTCTGCTTTAGTGGTGGAGCACTAACAACTGTGTGTCCACGACACCTTCAATTTCACGCACGGCACTAATTCTCACTACCGTGTACGTGGGACACAGCCATCCCAGTCTCAAAGGCTTCTTCAGAAAACACATGGCTGTCAAAGGCTCTGACTTCTCCAGAGGGCATGCCCGCCACTCTCTGAGCACTCTCCACCCAGCCAGAGTGTTCCGATGTTTCTCCTGAAAGGGCTGTGCTGTCCAGGCCACAGTACGGAGCCAGAAAACAGTGAATAGGATGCTTATCTAGGAGAAACCCCCTTCTGACAGAAAAGATCAGATACTTTACTTCTTGGTCACAGATGTAAATGTCACTTTTGAATCTAATTTCAAGATTCAGTTCCCATTTTCTCCCCTAGGTATTCAGAGAGCTCTGGGGGCCTAATGGAATGAACAACAAATAAGATTTTACAACAGCTATTTCTCTTGTCCTTCTGGACCAATGATGGAGACCAGGTGGCCTAGTGGGTAGGGAGTTGCAGTGCCAACCTAAAGGTGTGAAGTTCAAAACCACCAAAAGCTCTGCAGGACAAAGATGACCAATCTCCTCCATGTGGTTTACAGCCTCTGAAAACGCGCTGGAGGGTCAGCTCTGAGTTGGCCTGACTCCACGGCCAGGAGAGAGAATGAGAAAGAGGGACTCAGGAGAAATAAAAGAAAAAGGCCCGACGTGGTTACGTCAGCACGGGACTTACTTCCTGTTCACGATGAGCCATTCCCGAACATAGGTCTGGACACAGTCTCTGACATGAGGTTCCAGCTCAACCCTGGTGAGAAGCAGCAGAAGGACACTGTTACTGTGCAATTCAAAACAGACAGACCAACAAGTCGTTTCCCCAAGGGCTTCCGAGCAGAGCTGTGCTCCACGTGCTGATCCACGGGGGATTTCTTCTAAAGTAGGTTGCCAGGCCTTTCTTCCGATGCACTGCTGGGTGAATTCCAACCTGCAACATTTGTTTAGCAGCTGAAGGTATGAACCCTGTGCAAGCCCTCCCCCACTCCACGGCCATAGAGTTGCTTTCCACCTTCCACTGCTTCGTATGCATCTGAAAGCTGGACAATAAACAAAGACCAAAGAAGACTTGATGTCCTTAAATTATGGTGCTGGAGGAGAGTAATGCATATCCCGTGGGCGGTCAGAAGAACAAATGCATCTGTCTTTGAAGGATATGCAACCAGGCTGTTCCTTCAAGGAAAGGATTAGGAGACCGTCTCACATGCTTTGTTCATGTTATCAGGAGGAGCCAGTCATTGGGGAAGGACAGAGGGATCAACAAAAGAGAGACAGACCCTCCCGGAGACGGGAGGACCCAGGGACTGGAGACAGGCCCTCCCGGAGACGGGCGGACTCAGGGACAGGAGAAAGGTAGACCCAGGGACCAGAGACAGGCAGACTCAGGGACCACAGCGAGGGGCTCAGCCTGGTGGAAACCGTGAGGATGGTATGGGATAGGGCAGGGTTCAGATCTGTGGTTCAGAGGGTCGTCCGTCACAAGTTGTAGTTGACTTAATGGCACGTAACAACAATAAAAATGCTTTCTGAGGTTGTAAATCTTAGGAACAGACGGCTCCATCTATTTCTCTCAGAGTTGATGGTGGACTTGAAGCATCAACCTTTTGGTCAGCAGCCCAACACATAACCCACTGCGTCAGATCCTCATGACTCTACCAGCAGAACCCACAGCCATGGAGGCAGGCAGGTTTCTGAGGCTGCAAATCTTCACGGGAGGACGCTGCCCGTTTTTCTGCTCAGAGGCAGTGGGTGGAGTCACACTGCTGGCTTTCACTTAGCAGCTTGATGTGTTACAGGCTACAGTGGTTCAAAATGCAAAACAATTCCCCTCGTGCCCAGGACAGCAAGGTGGCTTGTAACGTGTACGCAGGAGAAAGGGAATGTGTTCCCATTCACTCAAGTGTCTGAAAATGCCTGAGGGGACAAGAAATGCACTCAGGAGACACACTGGCTGGCAGTTCACGTTCTGTGGGCTCGCTTGATTATAGGGAACTGAGTTAAACCATGCCTGTCCCTGAAGGCATCTGACACAAGACAGGTAAAACACGTTGTCAACAAGTACAGAGACAGAGTCGGCAGGAGGGCGTGTTTCTCACGGGGAATGGAGAAATAGTTGAGCTCCTGGGAAGGGGCCTTGTTAGGACACGCACTCCCTGCCGTGTGGAAGTCTGGCCGTCTGGGGCCCTCCGGAGGTGGGGGCCCGGGCATTGATTGCTTGTCAGATCAGGTGGCCCAGATCACAGCTGCCCAGGCGCAGGCTTGAGCGACCTACAGGGCTTCTGAGTCTGAAAATCACAAGCCATTAATCTCCCCATGAAGCAAGCTCTCTGCAAGAGTCTGTAGGCACTAACCAAGTGGTCAGCAGTTCTAGCCCACCTGCGGCAGTGGCTCTGAGGGGGAGAGACCTGGCCATACGCTCACCTAAAGGGTTTATTGTTGCCAGGTGCTGTCAATCAGCACGGAAACATAGTGACCCCCGTGCACAAGTGAAGGGAACCCTCCCTGCCTGATCCTCAGTCTCCTCTGTGCTCAGTGAGGGTAACGGCCACCATGCCATCTCATTGAGGGTCTGTCAGTCCATCTCACTGGCCAGCACTCACACGTCAGTCCATCACACTGGCCAGCACTGACCCGTCAGTCCATCTCACTGGCCAGCACTCACACGTCAGTCCATCTCACTGGCCAGCACTGACCCGTCAGTCCATCTCACTGGCCAGCACTCATCCATCTCACTGGCCAGCACTCACCCTCAGTCCGTCTCACTAGTGGCCTGCATGCTGCTGTGATGATGGAAGCTGTGTCAGCAGTATTTTTAATCCCAGGAGGGTCACCTGCGGTGGACAGGTTTCCACCACGGTGGACAGGATTTTGTTTATACCTGTATGCCATTTACTATGCATGAAGCATTGAGCTAATCACTTTATATGCATGAATTAAAATAATCCTCAATCAGCCCTCTAACGTAGGTATTAATATTAATAATATTCACATTCTGCAGCAACACAAGAGGCCTAGGGTCACATGGCTGGTAAGTGGTAGAGCAGGGATTCGAACCCAAGCAGTGGGGCTCTGAGGTCCATGCTTTTAAGCACTGCCCTCTGGCAGCTCTGTGTGAAGTTCTGCCCCGGGCACGGGCCCCCAGCAGAGCCAGTCCTGTTTACTCAGCTAACAAATGATGCCTTTCTACGCCTTAATTACACAGCCGACTTCTGGTCATGATGAAAGTGGCCAAGGTTGCTTTTCAGCCACCAAAAGGATAATGTCTGAGCTGTAAAGTCAGAAGCAGGTGCTTACTCTGCTCCAAAAACCGAAGCCATGGCCTCTTCTCTCACACTTCAAAAGTATCCTCCGGTGCCTAAATTTATTGTTAAAATTTTTCAAAGGGCTTTTCCCCCCAAGATTCAGCTATCTTTTGAAGTCAATTAGCCATAAATTTTTACAGTAAGATAAATATTCTGTGGTTCCCCACCAAAGGTGAAAATAATACAGGAGGCTGTTTCCCCTGTGAAGAAAGTGAGGGTGGAACGGCTTTGTCTCCTGAACTTTGTTAGCATGAGACCTGGTCCCTAGAGAAAGACGTCGGCAACAGAGGGTCAGTGAAAGAGAGGAAGACCCCGGTGACCACAAGCCCAGGCTTGGAGTCAACTTGATGGCACATGACAACACATGAAAGTCATGCATAAATAAAAAGGTTTCCCAAGGATACAAGGTTTTGTTTTGGGGGAAGTGAGTATTTTCAAAATGCTGGGACCAAGCATACATAAAGGCAGCGTCTTTATCTGGACACACCCCTCCCCTCATGCGGAGGACAATGTCATTGCCATTCTCTCAAGTGGAAGCACATCTCAGAGACCACTAAAGGTTGGGGCCGTGTGCCGGTGTCTCCTTCCTGGCCCTCTTATAGAAGAAATGCACAACAGAAATGCCCAGAGACGTGAGTTTTAATACTGAACAGGTTTCAGCAGAAATTCCTGAGTAAATGAGGAAGAAAGGCCTGGGAATCTACTTATAAAAACAAAACCCAGTCCATGAACATGCTATAGAGTCCAACAATCTAGTCACAGGAATAGCACAGGACCAAGGATGCTTGGTCAGTTGGGTACGGGGTCTCCGTGGGTCACCCTTACTGATGACAGTCCTGACGCCACCGCCCTGCCCAGGTTTTAAGAAGCTCACTCACCCTTCCTCTGGCAGGGAGGGCTGCAGGGTCCGGCATTCCTTGGGCGTGAACACCACGTCCAGGCTGTCCTCGGTGAAGTCCCCCAGCTCCTGGGCCAGCTCCATATCCAGGCTGCTGAGGTGGTTCATCAGAAGGCTTTCAAAGTCCACGGGTTCCACCGGGTCGTAAAACTGAGGCTGGAGGGGAGCAGAGGAGACAAAGGGGCCGTGTGAGCGGCCAGAGGCCCAGCTTCAGGGGGACTGTGGGGTCACCACCTCTCCTCACACCAGGGAGTGGAGCTGTCAGAGCCGAGAGGTGGTGTGTAAGTGGGGGAAGGCGGAGAGGAGACCGTCAAGTCCCAGCAAGATGAGTAATTACCATCAAACCCAAGGCGGGATTCTCTCGCTTAATTGCTTCTCTGGAGGAAGCCTGAGATCCAGGGTCAGCTCCCAGCTGCAAACTCTCTCCATTTTCCCCTGCAGCAACCCTCTCAGGCCAGGTCTGTCCTACACGGCCAAGCGTGGAGGGACACAGCCAAGTGTGGAGGGACCTGGTATTCTGGAAACTTAGGAGTCAACACCCTGTCATCTGAGAGCTCCCTTCGGCCTCAGCTGGCCGGTCTGGCCACCTCTGTCCTCTGCTGGGGGCCTCAGACTGAGACTCTAGGTGAGGGGTCCAAACACCACCTCTCAGTGCTGGGGGGCGTCTGGAAGGAATGGTATAGTGCCTTACACGATGGACAGCTGACCAGGTCAGTGGTTCAAATCCACCAGCTGTTCCATGGGAGAAAGAAGAGGCTTTGTCCCTGTGCAAGGATCTGTGGACTCTGACCAAGGGTTACCAGGAGCCAGAATCAACTGGACCGCAGTGGCACTGGGTTTGTATTTTTTTGCAGCTAAATGAGCAAACGGAAGACCAGCTGCTGGACTTTCGTGCACCTCACCCTCCTCAACCAGAAGGACTGATCTCTGCTCCTGAGCACAGACAGAACTTGGCAACTCTGTGGGATCGATTCCCAGCTATTGAAATGAAATGAGCATTGCAGTAAAACCATGCATGTGAATTTTTCGGTTTCTCAGTGCACATGAAAGTACGTTTACCCTCTACTGAAAATCCGTGTTTCCATGAAGTTCAGTGACATTTTAGTCTATGAAGTGCAATGTTATTGCTGTCTACCAGAGTCAGAACCACCCAGAGCTGAACTCCCAACAGATTTCCAGAGGCTGTTAATCGCATGAGAGGAGACTGTTCATCTTTCTCACTCAGAGCAGCTGGTGGATTCGAACCAAATGCCTTCGGGATGGCAGTGCAGCTCCCTATCACTGGGCCTCTGGAATGCCCTTAATTGTGTAATAACGTTATGAAAATTTTGAAACAGTGTAAGAAGTAGCAGAGCGGGGCAAGAAGCAGGCCCTGGCTGCTGGGAAAATGATACCGACAGAATTGCTCGACACTGGGCTGTGGCGAAGCTTCCATTTGTCAAAAAACACAGTCTGTGAGAAATAAGAAAGTGAAATGCAGCCTAATGAGCCTGCCTGTGAGCTGCCCCACTGTGTGCTGCCCCACTGTGTGCTGCCTGCCCTGTGCACTGCCCCACCAGGGGCGGGGGCGGGTCAAAAGAACAGAAGATGTGCTGTGGGGTTGCTGTACCTACCTCTTGCTACAAATGATCATTTTAAAGGAGGTTTCCACGGGCAGTAGACAGGGGTAACTGCTGTTATCTCATAGGCTGGTGGTTCAAATCCAGTGAGAGGTGCTTCGGAAGACAGGCCTGGCCACCTGCTTCTGAAGGCTCCCAGCCTTGAAGGTGTTCAAGTCTGTACTGCCCATGAGGGATGTTAGAAGGCAGAACGGACTCAACCAACAATTTTTAAAGTAAATTCCTTAGTTAATAAAGAGTTGGCAAATCTTTGTCCACACCCAAATACAAAACACAATATTTTTTTTTCTTGCCTGTCAAATCTGAAGAGACAGGAGCCATTCCCGTCAGGAAAGATGCACTCTGATCAAGCGGATGTGTGACAACAGTAACAATAGCAGCTCTATGACACACGCATTGATGGCAGACAGTCTAGAGCTGAAAGAAGACCTGTTGGCTCAGTGCATTACAGGAGGTCAGCTGTTTGAAGCCACCAAGCATCGCATGGGGGGGAAACCGAGGCACAGCCTGATCTGGTGAAGCTTTGATCGCCTCAGAAACCAGATGGAGGGTCATAAGTCAGAAGCAACTCAGAGGAAGTGGGTTTGGGTTTCTGTCCTATTGGGAGAGTTATTTAAAGCCAAAAGAGCCCTGGTGGTGCAGTGGTTAAGCATTCACTGGGGTAACCCAGTGCTTAGTGTTCTGCTGCAGGGGCTTCTCCGCAAACAGCCTGTACCACTCCAAGCCTGACCCACCGCCACCCAGTCCATTCCGGTCCAACAACTGGATCGGGCAGGTAGGACTGTCTGTGGGGTTTACAAGGCTGTCATCTTTAAGGAAGCAGATTGCCTCATCTCTGACTGTGGAGCAGCTGGTGGGTTTGAACCACAGACCTTTTGGTTAGTGGCTGAACACTTAGCCGCCATACCACCAGGACCCTTAAAAAACAACTTATGGTCTAGCTGATTGCTGGTAGCCCCACGTGTGTCAGGAAGCAACTATACCCAAGATAGTTCCCAGGGCTGGTTTTCAGAGTAGGCCACCAGGGCTTTCTTCTGAGGTGCCCCTGACTGGGCTAGAACCTTTAACCTTTCGATCAGCAGATTAGCAGCCAAGTGCACTGCCTGCACCACTCGAAGACTCCATAATGTCTATTGTGTCCGTGAACTGCAAAGCCCCAGGCAAAAGGAGAAAACTGGCCAATGACCGGGGGAGAAGCACAGCTCACACTACATCGAATCCATCAGCAGGCCCTGCCCGCGTTATATCTGAAATACCAGAACCCAAGCTGGGTCTCACCTTCCTCATCACCACCACCCTAATCCGAGCCTCTGTCACCTCCGGTCTGGGTACCTGGTGTCCTGCCACGCTCGGCCTCACCCTTGGCTGGTCTCACACTACTGGTCCTCTTAAAAAAAGCCCCATCACCAATCCTCGGGCATGCAATCAGGAGTGACCAGGCCCTGGAGAAGGATGCTGTGCTTGGAAATGAAGAGGGTTAGCGAAGGAGAAGAGGCCCCTTCGTGAGCGACCTGAACAGGGACTGAAGCAATGTGCTCATACCTGATGGCCCACATTTCCCTTCTGGTGGTGAATTGTTATGGGGGCTAATATGAGAGCATTTTCTTTTCCATCAACAGTGAGGTACTGGACTGCGAAAGTTTGGTAGTTCGAATCCACTAGCAGATCTACAAGGGCGATACTTGACAATCTGCTTTGGCAACACAACAATTAAGCACTTGGAAGCTAACAGGCTGCTAACCAAAAGGCTGCTGGTTCAAATCCACCCAGAGGTTTCATGGGAGAAAGCTGAGGTCATCTACTGCTGTAAAGATGGCAGCCTGGGAAGGCCGGGGGCAGTTCTATGTTCTACAGGGTTGTTTTGAGTGGGAATCAGCTCAAAACAACACCTAGCATTTGCATCACACTCCCTGACGGGTAACCAATGAAACCCAAGAACAGTTTACCTCTGTGAGGGCCACGGAACCACAGAAGTGTAAGCGAACCCATGGACCCTGACTGGAACCCATGAAACCTGACCTGGGACCCATGGACCCTGACCTGGGACCCAGGGACCCTGACCTGGAACACCTCCGAGACCCCCGCCAGCTGCCCAAGAGCAGAGCCCGTGGGTGCTCAGAGCCCTGAGGTGGGCAGAGCGGACAGCACCCCCGGGCCTCTCCTTCCTGTCTCTTTTTTTAAAAACCATTCGGAGTTACACACACAAACATGCCCCGTAACCATGGTGCCTTGACTGGTTTCCAGGATGTGGCTTCTCACCCCCTCTTCTTCAGTTAGGACCATGACGGTTCGCTGATTCATTCCATTTCACACTGAAACTTTTCTAGTCTCATTTTGTAAAATTGATTTCGTTCCCCTACTAAAGCGTCAGCCAAGCTTATCCATCATTTTGCACCCCCTTGAGTCCCCCTTAGAGCTGGGCGTTCAGCTTCTTCTCTTGGATAGGTTCTCCTTTCCAACTTCAATCATCAGAAAACAACTAGCAATTTCAAGTTTCATCTTAGCCAAGACATCAAGTAAAGCGGTCCCTGGTAGCACAGTAGTTAAGTGCTTGGATGCTAACTGGAAAAGGGGCATTTGAACCCCCCGCCCCTCCAGAGACTCCAAGGGTAAGGATTCAGAGTCTGATTGTTCACAGAAGACAGTGTAGGAAATTCCACGGGCTGTTTTCTTCTATCACAAGGAGTTGCCATCAGAATCAACTCATTAGCACTGAACCACAATGACACAACGGCAGACGTTTGACATCAGAGGGTCTGGCCAGCCTGCCCACTTGGCTATGGTGACAGAGCATATTCAGGCAAACAGGAATCCTGGTACAGGTGTTGCCAGGAGTAAGTGGCTGGGTGCTAGCCGATGATCAGCCGCCCAACCCCACTAGCATCTTTACAGGAAAAACACGTGGCAAGCAGCTGCTGTAAAGCTTGGTTATGGCCTGGGAACCCACGGGGCAGTTCTACCTTGGAACGGCTCAAAGCAGTGGATCTGGCTTTGTTTTGGTTCTAGGCTCACTCCACGGACGCAGTGGAGGCCAGTCCACAGGAAGTAGCACTGCTAGGCAAAAGGCCAGGCCTCTCCGGAATCTTCCCAAGGCCTTTTACCCTGCACTATAATCTTGAGGACGTCAAAAGATCAGGGATGTCTCGGAGAAGGTGCAGCCAGAGTGCTCCTTGGAGGCAAGGATGACAGAGCTTCGTCTCACAGACATGAGCGTGTTGCTAGGAGACGCTGTTCCTTGAAGAGGGACATCATCTTGGGAAGGTGGAGGGACAGTGAAGGAGAGGAAGACCCTCAACCAGGTGGACTGACACAGTGTGCACTGGGCTCTAGTGTGCCAGGAAGTGTGAGGATGGCACAGGACAGGGTTCAGGTCTGTTGTTCATAGGATCTCTATGAGACTCATTCGACTCAACAGTGCCTAACAATGACGACAACAACAACAACACAGGGTCACCACGAGTCAGAATCAACAAAGGCATCTGACAATGCGCCCAGAGGATTGGCAGGTGGTCCTCGCCCATCACCCATGAGAGCAAG